AAAAAAAAAAACAAACAAAAACCATCAAACGATTTGCGGCTTTAGATAAAAATAAAATTTAAATGTCAGCTCTAACCTGTAATTTCTTCTTCTCCTCGGAAGCTTTCTCAAGTTGCTCTTCACCTTCCTCAAGTTTCGCACTCATTTCGCTAATCATTTCCTCCAATTCTCCCTTCCTAACGGTAAGCCGCTCTTTAGCCTCGTCAGCTTCCGCTCTTTCCTCGCTTTCCTTAACGATTATGGTGAGGAGAACAAATCCAGGAACAAAAAATTAAGGTAGAAGAATGTGGAGATAGTGAAAAGCACAAAAAACCACAACAAAACAATGCTCTTTTAAGACAAAAAAAACAACCAACTTGCTGCAACTGCTCCTGCAGAACATTTTTCTCTTCGTTCAGAGACTGGAACCGTTTCTCCATAGCATTATACTCGCTTTCAACCTTGGAAAACTTATCTTTAACAGTTCTCAGCTCCTCTTCTAGTGCATTTTTAACAGCTTCTTGGTTTGTAACTTGTAACAGAGGTTTGACCTGAAAACTTTCAAATTAGAAAAAAAATTGACAACGCGAATATATGACAGACGGCAAACTTAACAAAAACATATTCTGCAAACATATCCTGAACCAAAACCTTTGTAAAAAGCCTCCACCACTGCCAATTCCTTAGTTTCAGCCACGCTAAACCATTTCGTTGAAGTACCCGTATTGCGTTTGATTGCTGCATACGTTTTTGGTAGAGTCGCCTAGCAAGGAATGCACGGCATTGTGCTTGGAACGAAATTATGAGATCGGTTAACTTGAGGTCTCGCTCCTCTTCCAACCGAGCCAAAACCCCAGCGCGGAAAAAAATTTTCGACTGACCAAGCCGATATAAAGTAGCTTCCATTTCAAGCGCCTCAATCATCTTCCTTAACTACCATTTTAAAGTTGAGACTTAGTAAGGTCCTATACGTCACTTTCTCCGATAGAAACAAGACCAAATAAATTCAAATATTAAAAAAGTACTTCTGAAGAACCTAAAAGAGCAAAAATTTGAACTAGAATTGAAGTTTGCTTGCTAACCTCACTGCTTCCTTTCCATCCATAAATCCTTTAGGAATTACATTGGGAGTAAGAAGCTCATAACGGTGACGAAATTCTTGAAATGGAACTCTACTAGGAAAACCTTGACGACAAATTCTAATGCCTTCCAATACCCCATTGCATTTCAACTGTTCTAGTACAAGCAATGACGCAATTTTTCCTGCCTAAATTTGCTTTAAATTACTTCTAGATACGGTAAAAAATGTATTCCCAGATACTCTTAATTCCTTAATAGCCCCCAATAAGAATCGAAAAAAAAGTAACGATCAAAGAAGCTCACTTTTTTTTCATGGTTTGGGATGATACATCTGACAAAATGAGGATTGGTGTTCTTCAGTGTCATCG